AAACATTTGAAGTGTTATTTGATAGCATTTTTCCTAAAAAGTAGTGCTATTTCAGTCAGTTTGAATGGTTCTAATTCAAACCCTAGTTTATTAGCGTTTTGTTTAGCTGATTGGGAATCCTTCATAACTTTTAAAGGGGTGATTGGCAGAAGTAGTTTGAGAAACGCCGAGTTAAACAAATGATGATTTCTTCCAGCGATATCAAGGACACGACGGTTGGCACTTTGTCGCAGCGCATCACCAATCAGGTGCATGGTCTGAAGGGCCTCAACTCCAAACTTCTGGATATCAAGAGTTACCTGGAGAAAGTTGCAACCGGCAAACTACCCATCAACCACCAGATCATCTACCAGCTCCAGGACGTGTTCAACCTGCTGCCTGACGTCAACCTGCAGGAGTTCGTCAAGGCCTTCTATCTCAAAACCAACGATCAGATGCTGGTGGTTTACCTGGCCTCGCTCATCCGCTCCGTAGTGGCGCTCCACAATCTCATCAATAACAAAATCGCCAACCGCGACGCTGAGAAGAAGGAAGGCCAGGAGAAAGACGACAGCAAGAAAGAAAAGAAGGATGAGAAGGATAAAGACAAGGACAAAGACAAGGAAAAGGACGCTTCAGCCAAGAAAGAAGACAAAAAGGATAAGAAATAAACTGGCATGAACTTGGGCTTACACAAACTTGGCTGAATAACGAGGAAGTCTGCGTTTGTTTGCTTCTCTTGTTTAAAACAAAAAATCTATCTAAATCAGCCGTTGTGTCTGTCTTTTTGATATAAAGGACTCGTTTTCTGTTTTGCGATTCATTCAGATCTCCCTCTGATGGTTGATGTTTCTGTTTTGACCAAGGTTGATGTATTCAACATTATAATCACCATTATTAGACCATCAAGACAGGTGTTAAAGCAAAGTCCAACTGCAGCCGCATCCTTGTATTTACACTGATGAGATTTTTTTTTTATTATTATTATAAAAACCAATGTCAAACAAACTCATGCAGCTTAACCTGTTTTATTTCGTTCACTACATGCAAAGTGTACAGTAACCAAAGCACATCTGCAAAACATGTCTAGTTTTCAGCGAAATCAGAAATAAAAAGATCGGCTTTATAATAAATATGGTAGTTTTGATTTTTCCCACAAATGAAATGAAAGCTTACACAAAACTGCATTAAGCATTTTAGAAGAAAGGTAATATGTGCAGATATCATGCATACATTTTAATTTCTTGATGTTTACAAAGTAAATATATTAGGATAAGACACTAGATGATGGAGTCTTCTTGTATTAGCACGTCAATGACCGGGATTATGATCGGTTTCTTCTTTTTTCTTGCTTTTGATTCCAAAAAAGCTCATTATCTTCATCATTACCAGTTCCACGGTTTCCTCTTCCTCTGAAGGCTGCGTATGAGAAAAGTAAGATCAGTTCTCCCAATAGTCAACAAACTAAGTTATAATTCCATATTACATGGCTGTCTGGAATAATTGATTCTGATTTACGACATTCCAAGGTATGTTATTCCTAGATTACTCATAAACTAATAACGCAGGCTCACTTGAGTACTACCAATCACCTTGATCATCAGTGAGTACACTACTAGTCAAAAGTTTGGGGTCAGTAGGCTTTTAAATGTTTTAAAATAAGCTTTTTCTGCTCACCAAGGCTGCAAAATACAGTATCAATTGTAAAATTGTGAAACGTTATTGCACTATAAAATAACTGTTCAAAAGTAGTTTATTATTTAATTTAATCATTTATTCAGTAATTATAATGATGATTTTACAGCTTCATTACTCCATTCTTCAGTCACATGGTCCTTCATAAACCACTTTAATTTGTATTATTATTATTATTGGTAATAGTAATAAAAGCAATAATGACTGGACTAATAATGTCATTTGAAACTACATACAATAAGTAATAAATAAATACTTAACAATTTTACATTTTTTTTTACATTTAATAAATGCTGCCATGATGAACAGAAAGGCAACAGTAACTCAAACAACCACTCGTTACAACCAAAGTATGCAGAAGATCTCTGAACAAACAACGCATTTAAACTTGAGGCAGATGGGCTAAAGCAGCAGAAGACCACACCGGGTGCAACTCCTGTCAGCCAAGAACAGGAAACTGAGGCTACTATTTGCACAGGGTTAGAATATTGCATCGACAACATGAAAGCATGGATTCATCCTGCCTTGTATCAGGCTGCTGGTGGTGGTGGTGTAATGGTGTGGGGGATGTTTTCTTGGCACACTTTGAGCCCATTAGTACCAATTGAGAATCATGTCAACGCCACAGCCTGAGTATTGTTGCTGACCATATAATTACAGTGCACCCATTTTCTGATAGCTACTTCCAGCAGGATAACGCGCCCTCTCATAAAGCGCAAATCATCTCAGACTGGTTTGTTGAACATGATAATAAGTTCGCTGTACTCAGATGGCCTCCACAGTCACCAGAGCTCTATCCAATCGAGCACCTTTGGGATTTGGTGTAACGGGAGATTCACATCATGAATGTGCAGCCGACAAATCTGCAGCAACTGTGTGATGCTATCATGTCTATATGGACCAAAATCTCTGAGGAAGTTTTCCAGTCCCTTGTTGAATCTATACCATTAAGGATTAAGGCAGTTGTGAAGGCAAAAGGGGGTCCAACCCAGTACTAGTAAGTGGCCGGTGAGTGTATATAGTGTATGGAATGTTTGACTGTCTTTTTTTTGTTTTGTTTTCTTTTCTGCACTACAATTATGAGATTTTCCATATTTCGTAATTCAAGTTTTTCCCCACCCCATTTATTTTTGTTTTTGAATTGCATTATTGAACCTCTGTCTTTCTTCCAACCTTGAAAACTGAAAAAGTGACTTTTCTGAACATTTTTAATACGGTTGTTGTTGTATATTATGCTGCAAAAAACCTGGTAATAAGCTGCCGGTACATTTTCTGTTATTTAACTAACTTAATTCTCTATATATTATTTCTTGTCAACAAAATCTTGTCACAAACTACTAAAATGTCAATAAAAGTCACTTTGTTAAACTGCTGAGTTGAAATTTCAACATCAAAAGTGGACACAGCAGAGATCAACATCCCATAATATATCTTAATTTGTGCTTGGAAGGTAATTGGAAGGTAAACAAGTGTCTCAGGGAGTTGGAATGGCTAACCCTTTAAGCTGCTTTAGTCAAAAGATTGTCTGAACAGGGCCTTCAAAATAGTTGCAAATGTAAAATGTAAAAGTGACCTGGTGATTCTCCCGTTCCTCAGTAACTGCCATTAGGATGATGGAGATGAAGAGGGACAGTACCACAAATGTAGCGATGAGGACGCAAGAGGAAATGATGACAGCGCCAAGAGCAGGGTTGGAATTCATCACCTGTACAGGTAACATGACAGCGGCAATGAAGCAAAAGCTTTCCCAGTCTGGTCATTCATGATGTTTTACGTACCTCATCGTAATTGAAGATGCCTATCTGCAAACTGAAGATCGCAGTAAAAGCGTCCGGCAGAGTTCTGTATGTGTATAGCTCCCATCCGAATATGAGATTGCACTAATGAAAATGAAATCAATCATATTAATAAGATAAAATAAAATGAAGCTACAATATCTATGTCTATGGGGCAGCCGTTTAACAAGTGCCATATAAGCTGCAGCTATTTTTCCAAATATATATATATATATATATATATATTTTTTTTTTTTTTTTTTTTGATTGATTGACTTATTGATTGATTTTCTGACATCAGTGGACAAGTTTACTTATCTGTAATGATTTATTTTAAATTTGGAAATAAGTTAATCTATAGCTTAAAGAATAATAATAAAAAAGGTTTTACCCAAACACGTATAACACTATAAATCTAGAATTCAGAGAAATTGAGCTATAGTTTTCATAGCTATGCACAGTCAAAAAACTTAACAGTCACTATAGTGTATAGTATATATATAGGCTTCTAGTTGATCACTTGGTATCAGAAGTGGCTTATATGAAAGGCAAAGGCCGCTATTACACTTATTTTACCAAAACAAAATATGATCATGCCTTGATTTTTAATTATTTAATTAGGACAGTAAGGTCTAACTTTGCTTAGACAAAAGTTTTGCTACTTAACAGAAATATTGTCCAGTATAGAATATAAAGTCATGGTGCAGTGGAAAAAGAGTTAATATTGAACATGTCTCCTATGAGCTTGGAGGACTGCATCCATACATCTCTGGTCAAATCACTTTTTAATAAAGTCATCTGGAATGGCAAAGAAAGCGTTCTTGCAGGACTCCCAGAGGTCAAGATTCTTTGGATTCATCTTCAACGCTTCATCTTACCCCAGACTTGCTCTATAATGTGCATGTCTGGTGACTAGGCTGGCCAATCCTGGAGCACCTTGACCTTCTTTTCTTTCAGGAACTTTGATGTGGAGGCTGAAGTATGAGAAGGAGCGCGATCCTGCTGAAGAATTTGCCCTCTCCTGTGGTTTGTAATGTAATGGGCAGCACAAATGTTTTGATACCTCAGGCTGTTGATGCTGCCATCCACACTGCAGATCTCTCGCACACCCCCTTACTAAATATAAATCCAAACCATAATTTTTCCCCTTACCAAACTTGACTGAGTTCTGTGAGAACCTTGGCTTCATGCAGGTTCCAGTAGGTCTTCTGCAGTATTTGTGATGATTGAGATGCAGCTCAACAGATGATTCATCAGAAAAATCGACCTTCTGCCACTTTTCCACATGATCAACTAGAAGTCAAGTTATTATTTGTTGCTCTTACAACTGGGATCCATATTATGGCCAAAACATTCTTCCTATTATAGACTAAAAACCAAAAGGAGCAGTAGAAGCTACTGTGGAGAATCTGAGAAAATACTGAAGATCAAGTTTAATGACTAAAAAAAATCATCAGTACAAGTGTACAAATTTTGCTCTAAATGAATTTCTGTTTAGATGAAGTAAAACACCCCCACAGATAAAATTTCTTCTGTATTTGGACATAATCCATTTTTAAATCAAATTAAATCATTCTATTGTCACATCATCAGCAGCTGCACTTGTGCTATGATGAGTGACAAGCTTAGAGGAGCTCGCAACACGGCGGCCATGCTCGGCGCCATCTTAACATCAAAATTGAGCATAAGGTGATGTCATGCATGTCAAATTGGCTTAGAATTGAAAGAATTGTTGTAAGCTGGCTCACAGGAAGATGGGAAATATGCCTTTGACCTTTTTATTTTGGTGATTAAAGGATAATATACACAGAAAAAAAGGAATAATCGGATATACTCATTTTTTTAAGTGACGTGTTTGCAAAACAGTTTATATGAGCTGAATTTAAACAAATTAAGTTGAACATTACTAAATTCAATTTGTTTAAAGTCAGCAAATATAAATTGATTGCAATCACTTACCTTAAAAGAAATGAGTAAATCCAATTAATATATATATTTTTAACTGTTTTGGTCATGAATAACAAAACTGCTAAGCAATGCACATAATTCTTGATTATGGGATTCTTGATTGAGTGATTTTTTTATGCCAAAAAATATGTAAAATATAGTGCAGGTCAGTATTTTCTGTGGGATTACGTTTGCCAACAGTAAAGTAGTTGGGCCTTACAGCAAGAGAATAGGCCAGGAGGATAATGAAGATGACCACAGTGAGGGTGGACATGTCGTCCCAGGCGCGCTGCAGTGACGAGGCGATGACGTACAGTTTAGGACTGAGTCTTAGCAGATGCCAGAGCTTCACACAGCCCAGAAGAACCAAAAACGCCATCACGTATCTCAGCGTAGCATCCACGGCAGCGGTGTCATGAAAACTGGGAAACCTGCAGAACAATACCATTTTTACCATCTTCAATTTATCTATCTACATTTAAAGAAAACATTTGTGTTGTTGACGTGACGTTGCATATCGATTTCTCCACGATAAAAAAAGAAACTGCTTTTATAATATTTTTTACATTTTCGAGCCTAATCTCAAAACTGACGGTCTCAAGCATAGCCTTATAAAGTTTAGCTCTTATAAATGAAAAAGAAAATTGTAAAACCATTAATTAAATACCTCAGGCCTAATTTTAACTGTGGCTATTTTATTAAACAGCACACAATATTTTTGAGTGTATTTATATTCACCTTTGTCATGTGTGATGGTAGAAATGCAACTGGCTGGAATTAGTAGGTCATCTGGGTTTTTCTTGCATGCTGTTTTTCAAATACTAAGCTTTCGGACATACTACTCGGCTCGCATACGGTTTTCAACATACTATAAAGTATGGAATTATGCCATTTTAGGTGCAGCGATGGTTTTAGTGACAATAATGTATCAAGTTCCTATGCATGAAACATTTTTGGGTATTTATTGGCAAACTGGCGATTCTTAAATCATAATTACAATCACCTGTTTCATCATTATTTAAACATTATTTTAAATGGCAACAGGTGTTTATTTTCAAAAGACAAACAAACAAACAATTCAAATCATGAGGAACACATAAAATAATGTTTGTTGTATTGGTTGCAATGAAATACAAGACTAAATTTGGGAATCACTATATGGAAACTAAAGCACGCAAAGGAAACCCTTCTCAAACACGGGGAGAAAATTCAAACTCCACACAGAAATGCCAACTGACCATTCTGGACTCTGAACCATTGGATTCTTGCTGTGCAGTGACAGTGCTAATATATAAACTTACCGGCCACTTTATTAGGTACACTTGTCTAACTGCTCGTTAACATACATTTCTAATCAGCCAATCACATGGCAGTAACTCAATGCATTTAGGCATGTAGACATGGTCAAGACGACCTGCTGCAGTTCAAACCGAGCATCAGAATGGGGAAGGTCATTAAAGTGATTTTGAATGTGGCTGAACACACAACATGTCAAACCTTGAAGCAGATGGACTACAGCAGCAGAAGACCACACCGGGTGCCACTCCTGTCAGCTAAGAACAGGAAACTGCGGCTACAATTCGCACATGCAGGCTCACCAAAATTGGACAATAGAAGATTGGAAAAACGTAGCCTGGTCTGATAAGTCTCGATTTCTGTTGCAACATTTGGGTAGGGTCAGAATTTGGCGTCAACAACATGAAAGCATGGATCAATCCTGCCTTTTGTTAACGGTTCAAGCTGGTGGTGGTGGTGGTGTAATGGTCTGGTGGATAATTTCTAGGCACACTTTGGGCCCATTAGTACCGCCACAGCCTACCTGAGTATTGAAGCTGACCATGCCCATCCCTTTATGGCCACAGTGTACCCATCTTCTGAGGATAAGCAGGATAATGCACCATGTCATAAAGTGCGAATCATTTCAGACTGGTTTCTTGAACATGACAATGAGTTCACTGTACTCAAATGGTCTCAGTCCAATAGCTCAATCCAATGAGCTCAATCCAATAGAGCACCTTTGGGATTTGGTGAAGCGGGAGATTCACTTCTTGGATGTCCTGCCGATAAATCTGCAGCAACTGCGTCATGCTATCATGTCAATATTGAGCAACATCCCTGAGGAATATTTCCAGTACCTTGCTGAATCCATGCCACAAAGGATTAAGGTACACTTATTAGGTACACTAGTAAGGTGTACCTAATAAAGTGGCCGGCAAGTGTATACATCTGTTTAACTAATTATTTCAACAAGAAAAAGGATATTTTTATTTCATATTTGTCAAAACTACCCACTCACTCCTCATACTTACTGATTTTTGTGTTTCTGGTAGTATTGGATGTCTATGTTACCCTGTACGGTTTTCTGGATGAACAGTGACAATGAACTCCAGCTTAAAATGATGATGGCCATGTCTAACAGATTCCACTTGTTTCTGAAATACGCCCATTTCTGCCTCTTCAGCAGCTTGCCCTGTTCAACACCAAAACATGTGCGCTTTAATACGGAAAGTATGTTAAAAATGAAGAAAGAATCGCACGAAAGCCACAAGAGATTAATTACATAACTTAATATGATGCAAATAAACAAGAGACTGACCTGCAAAAACATGTAGTAGACAACGAAGAGGAAGTAAATAACCCTCGAGGCCATGAGAAAGGACATAAAGCTGCCCACAGAGCTGTACAGACTGACATTCTGCAACACACTGCGAAACTGAAATGCACCTGGAAAAATCAGAAGCACCAGCTCAGATATGCCATGAAACAGGAAGGTTTTGTATGAATGAGAATGATTATTGTTTTGCCTCACCCACTGCACTGCTCTCTAATATCAGCGTGACAATGCAGAAGAGATCGACATTAGCATTGTACACGGTAAACTCTACAAAAACCGCCCTTGTGTACTCATCCAACCAGGTGGAGTTAAACAGATACTGAAGCTTCCTGTTGGTTAAAGGGAGACATCATTCTGTTAATACTTATACTTTACAAAAAATAATAGCTTTTTATGTAAATAAAATATTTGTAAAAAAATACTTATAGATAAGTGAACTGATTGCAGAGGCTTAACTTCATTAATAAAATACATAGAAATTGAATAACATTAAATTACATGCAAATGATGACATTTTTGGTTGCGGGTCTTCATAACATCTTTAAATTTGGTTTGTTCAAATGCTGCCCCATCTTATTTTTATCTTTAGTTTATATGAATATATATTTTATACAACAGTTCTTTCTGGTTCTCGAATGAAATTGAAAATGCGTCAATCTTTTCTCCTCTAAAGGCTTATTATACAATCTCTGTCGCCATCTTGTGGATGGACAACGTCAACTGTTTTTGCTTTGCTCAATAACAGGCTGATGGATGTCATTGCGCTGCATTAAAAAAATTCAAGATATATAAAAATAGGCACTATTCTTATTAATAAACTGCATAGTTGCAATCTAAACAACAAATTTCTTGACTAAAAAAAGCCTCAAAAATACATTTTGTTGTCCAACAGCTGCAATATTTGTCAAACTGTAGTGAGTTTATTCCTCTGCTTGGCACACTATGTGGGCGGAGTAATACACAAGAGTAAAGAGGCTGTACGAGTGCTGTTATTGCAGAATATAACACGGCTATCAGCCAATCACACACACACACACACACACACACACACACACACACACACACACACACACACACACACACACACACATATATATATATATATATATATATATATATATATATATATATATATATATATATATATAGCATTATATATTATAATTAAGCCATTATGCAATGCATCAAACAGAGGTTTTATTTATGCGTTTACTCACATGGTAGCATTTTGCTTGTCAGGACCAAGGTCCATAACATACCCTCCTCCTCTATACAGTGCAGTTAAACCCCAAACAGGCAGTGCTTTGAGTGTGGACTGGCTTTGATATTGCCATGCTGTGATTCCCTCCTCAGAGCCATTCACAGAATTAAACTCTTCCCAGCCAGGACCGTAAGACATCATGTCCTCATTTCCCCATGAGTAAGGAGTGTTGCACTGGGAAACAGTGTGAAGCATGACTTTAGCAACCTTACAAGTGTCTTTCTTCACCCTCACTTGTCGAATACGAGCGTTACCGACAAGTTTGGAGTTTCCATCTGTTATAAAGCCTAAAAAATACATTACACACATCAACCTCAAATGACACTCTCTTTATAGAAGATTGTTACATTCATGGACAGGTCAAGATAATGCAAGTACCTGGATATTGTCCAAAGAGGTTTTTGAGAAGTACAGTGTTGGCCCAGACAAACACATCATTGGTCTTCATACTGTCTGAAATGCCTTTGCTGAAGCTCTGCTGGATGTGCTGAGTGAGGTAGAATGCATTTGGATCTTGCTGTCCATATGCCACCAGCAGCAGCATAGACAAGAACCCCAGGAAAACTGCAGGGAAAGTACAGGTCTGTTAACCGCTGTACATTCACACAGTTATTCACAAAAACCCATCTTAAAAAATTTATATATTAGCATATATCATATAGCATATGCTATATTAGCATATATCAAAGCATATATAATATTAACATATCAGCAATAATATGAAAAGAGTTGATACAGATGGTTCATTATTTATAAAAGATAAATAAGCTGCATGTCTTTTGAATAATCCATTTTTCTTCGAGCAAAATCATTAAATACTTGCGATTAAATAAAACTAAAAACTAAATAAACACTGTTAAAAACAATTGGCTAACATTGCTGACATGGGCTTTTTTTTTCTTTTTCTCCATAATATTTTTATTTTTCGTTTTCAGGTTGTACACATTGAAATACAACAATTTACAAACATTTTACAACAATAATAACATTGTTGCATTTACAAATTATACAAAATATGAGGATGTATATATATTTATAATAAAAACTAAAAGCAAAAAAACAAACAACAAAAAAATAAATAATTAAATTAAAAGTAAAACTGCTCCCCTTTTTGTCATTAATAGTAATCTATTCAAACATGACAATTATAATCATACTGAGTACTAGGTACAGCAAATATGTATTAAAGAATGTATCAATACAGAACTATAAAGCTGGAACTGCATTATCCATCAAACATTATTCATCAACTTCTTGCTAATTCCACTTCTTTGATGTAACTAATGAAAGGACTCCATATCTTTTCAAATAAACGTTGTTTAGCTTTAAGTATATAAGTCTATATAATCTATATAAGTATATAAGTCTATATAAAGTATATAATCTGGTTTGGCGATCCTAACCCTCTGCATTAATTAGGTTTTGATGAGCTTTCCACTTTTCAAAAACCTGTTGTTAGAAACATTTCATTTCGATAGTGATCTGAAATTTAACAAACAAGTAAATACAGTTGTTAAATCCAGTTTTTTTTTCCCATTTACGACTTATGGCAAAAGTAAAGTCGTTTCTCTCTTTTAATGACCTTGAAAAGGTGATCCATGCTTTTATTTTGGGAAGACTTCACTATTGCATTTTTTTTTTTTATGTGGGTATTAGTCAAAATGCCCTAAATAGATTGCAATTAGTACAAAATGTAAGTATAAGCACATATCGCCAGTTCTTTCCTCTCTGGGCCGGCTGCCTGTTAGGTCACGGATTGATTTTACTATTAATCTTTGTTTTTAAATCCTTAAACAATCTGGCACCATTAATTTTCAGACCTGCTACATGTATATAATCCTGGCAGGTTACTGAGGTCTTCTGATGAATTTATTCTTTCTATACCAAGGTCCCGGCGTAAGCGAAGTGGGGATCGCGCTTTTGCTGTTATTGCCCCAAAACTCTGGAACGGGCTTCCACCCCACATCAGACATGCTCCAACTCTTTCTGTTTTTAAAAAGCATTTGAAACGCCATCTTTGTTCGTTAGTATTTGAGCCTTTTTAATGTTGAGGGGTTTGTCTTATGTTTTAATTGTATGTGATGTAGATTTTATTTTTAGTATTGATTGTGTTCGGCACTTTGGGCACCGTTGTGTTGTAAAAAGTGTGCTATATAAATAAACTAATTAACTAACTTACTAACTAACTAACTAACTAACTAACTAACTAACTAAAACTAACTAACTAACTAACTAACTAACTAACTAACTAACTAACTAACTAACTAACTAACTAACGGTAACACTTTACAATAAGGTTCATTAGTTAATGCATTTACTAACATGAACTAATCATGAACACCACATGTACAGCATTTATTAATCATAATTGAACATTTACTAATGCATTAATAACATCCAAGTCCATGCTTGTTAACATTAGTTAATGCACCATGAGTTAACATGAACTAACAATGAACTACTGTATTTTCATTAACTAACGTTAACTAACATAAACAAATACAGTAGTAGATGTATTGTTCATTGTTTGTTCATGTTAGTAAATGCATTAATTAACATTAACTAATGAACCTTATTGTAAAGTGTGACCTAACTAACTAACTAACTAATTAACTAACTAAAAGATGTTTTTTCTAATGGCAGACTTGACAACATTTGTCTTATCCATTGAGTAGCTTTTAGTCTTTGCGTCCTTGTCCATAGCAAAGCTACACATCTTTTGGCATAAAGCAAACTGAGGTCTTTAAATGCTTGTTCGCTTCTGCTATTTGTTTTGAAATAATGGGCTGTTTTTCTTACTCAGAACCTCCATGACGAGAGCTTGTGCTTTCTGCTGTTTGATCATGTTTCTCCTGAGCTTCTCTATATCGCCGGGAGGTGGAGGCTGATAGTAGCTCTGTGTACAGTCTCTCTGAGCAAAACACACTTCACTGAGACCATCTGTAGAATTACAAATTGAAAACACATCTGCTTTATGAGATACAAAGTTCTTTATACGGAACCTCAAAGACCAACTAAGCTTACTTTTTAGTACTCATTACATATGAAGTGAAGTGAAGTCACCTGAGCCAGCGGTTGTTTTCTTTTGTAAAGTATCAACTTCTTCATCCTCGGCTTCAACCTTTTTCATCACCAATGCAAAGAAAATTCCTATAAAAACAACCTGCCAAATGAAATACACAATCCTACGATCAGAACGACATCACTTTGAATATAAAATGTGACCCTGGAGCACAAAACCAGCCTTAAAGAAATCATTTTACAAGTCGTCTAGAGTTAAACCATTTATTAATCCATTCAGCCGATTTCCGGGAATACTTTTAGCTTAGCTTAGCATAGATAATTGTGTTGGATTAGACCATTAGCATCTCAATTAAAATGACCAAAGAATTTTAATCATTTCGATGATTTCTTACAGTGTGACCAGAACTAATATCATTGCGCCTGCTGCAGCCATGATATGGCAGCTAAGTCCCTTGATTATTAGGCCTGAATGAGACTATAGTTCCTAGGCATATCAGGGGTCTGGATGCAGACCTGATGCAGATGCAATCTGAGCTGTATGCCATGCTTTTTAATGGACTCACCTAACTCCACCCCACCCCTCAAAATGACGTCACTGGTTCCATTAAGTGCATTGTGTCTGACATTGCATGGCTGAGAGATGCTGCATCCAAATACTATTGTAGAAAATAGAAACTTTTTATTTTCAGTCGGTCTTAGTACAGGATATAACTACAAAGAGTCAAGCTTTAAATTGGAAAAAAACTATTAAAAAAACCCTTGGTCATTTTTGAATGAGATGCTAATGGTCTAATCTGATTCAATTATCTATGCTAAGCTAAACTAAAATTGCCCCCATCAGTCCTGGAGATTGACTGGATAGATTAAAAAATAGTAAACCTCACCTGCTTAACTGTTGGGAGCTGTAAAATAGCTGTGTTTTCTTATTTATTTATTTTATTTTGTTTAAAGTGGAATGTTTCAGTAGGTTGCATGAGTATACTTGTAGAAAAAGCCATGATAAACATTATGCTCAATGAATACATTTTGTACATGTATTAAATTAATATTCTGATTAGTCATATACATTGCTAAAAACTTAATTTGGACCATTTTAAATGTGATTTTCTAAATATTTTGGTTTGATTTCAAATTTCCAGATGTTGTCCTACTGTAAAAAAACACACATCAATACAAAGATGGTTTAGTCCTAAAGAAATACAGTACTATGCAAGAGTCTTAGGCCACCACCAGCTAAAAGGTATGTAGTACGTGCAGGGTCATTATTTTTGGGTGAACTATAGCCTAATTTACAGTACAAACAAAAGATAAGCGAAAAGAAAACAATATTCAGAACAAAATGTATTTTGGACTCAAAAGACTAGCATCAAAAGTGTGTTTAACTTTAGCACCAAAAGCAACAGCTTGAACTTTTTTGTTGAATCTTTTCTGAATTATGTGCTATGTAATACCAAGCATCTTTCAGCTTTTTAAAGAGTTCTTCCTTAGATTTAGCATGTTCTGTTGTTTTTTTCTTCTTCAGGTGAATCTTATACTGCCAATACATACTGCATACTGTATAATATTCAGGTCTGGACTTTGTGGAGGCCATTTCATGACTGTCTTCATTTCATCAGATGTTTTTCTCTTCAAATATGATTACATTACAGTGTGTTTGGGATCCTTGTCGTGCTGAAAGAAAAAACTATTACAAATTAGGTGTTTTCTAGTAGGAATTACATGACAAATTAAGTCGGAACTTTTCAGCATTCACAATCCCACAAACCGTTCTGGCTAAAATATAATCAAGAAAGAAAATCCAGGATTTTTCATTGATGCTTCCATCTTTCTCTAACTCTTAAATAATCACACCCAAAAGTTCCCACTAGAACCTGTATTTTCTGGTTGTGTTTTAATAAAGAGAATGAAAAGTCATTTATAATGTTATTATACTCTCACTAAAGCAACAAATGTAACCGGGGGGCTAAGACTTTTGCACAGTACTTTATAAATCTCAACTGTAAAGAATTTACTGTTATGACTGGATTTGTGTTTCCAAATATTATATTGTGATTAGTTTCTTTACTTTTACAGGCTCGGTGAAGCAGAGGCTCTGCGTGAAGCCTGTGACGTTGGAGATTATCCAGCTGACAGAGCGATCCTTCCCATATTTCAGTCCATACAACATCGTGAAGTAACCTGAAATCACACTGGTGCCTATGACCAGAACCCAACCCACATACACAAACCACCAGGGTGGATCCTTTTGGCAGCCGTGCTTTTTGGGCTTGGAGTTGCTGGTTTGCTGCTCAGCGAAAGGTAGAGATGAAACAAGACTTTCCAGCATTTTTAACATGTCCTGCACCTGCAGTAAAACCTGAATGAAGCACCCAGGCCTGGAAAATCCCGAAGGCCCCAGCAGCTTCACCTCTCCCTCCACGTTTTTAAGTTGTTTGGTCAGATGATAGGTGTAGGCCGGGAAAACGGAGGAGGGTTTGTTTTTGTGTATTAAGTGCTGTTGCTCGATGAGGGCCTGCAACTCCGACAGCAAAGTGTTGACATCTGATTTACGAGAGATCATCTCAGTTTTCGGGAAAGGGCATCTCATGGCATGTGCAAACAGGTACGTGATTCTCTGGATGTCCTAATGAAATATCATAAGACATGTATGTTAAGGCAAAATAATAATAACAAATAAAGAAATTGAGACATTTTGAACACTTTAGTTTTGAAATCAGAAATTACAATCTTATTATTGACTAATAAGTGCACTTACATAGTTAGGGACTTACATTGCCAATAACAGTCACTAATAAGGCTTTAATTGATCATTATTTTATATTAAAACTAAGATAATTTTATTCCAACAAACTAAAATAAATAAGACTTTTTCCAGAATAAAATTAATTGATACAAATTTAACACTTTAGTTTAGAAATCAGAAATCACAAGCTTACGTAGATACTGATTTACATGCCATTATGAGTTACTGTTAGGGCATTTAATGGTCACTTCGGTCCGTGTACGTTTTATTCATTTGTTTTCCATTTTCAAACGGAATAAAGGAAATTGAAAAAAACGCCGTTTTCTCAATTTCCTTTATTCCGTTTGAAAATGGAAAACAAATGAACAAAACGTACACGGACCGTTTCAGCACCGCCTACATGTGTAAAATGAATTTTAAAGTCGTTTATCCGTTTTCCTACCCTAAACCAAAATACGAAAATCCAGCCAAAATCTCGTTTTTTCATTTTCTCGTGAGCAAAAGAAAAACGAAAAAACGGCCGTTTTCTCAATTTCCTTTATTCCGTTTGAAAATGGAAAACAAATGAACAAAACGTGCACGGACCCACTTTTTATTCTTGTCTTTCATTAATTCATTTTCTCTTCAGCTTAGTCCCTTTATTAATCAGGGGTCGCCACAGCGGAATGAACCGCCAACTTATCCAGCATAAGTTTTACGCAGCAGATGCCCCTCCAGCAGCAACCCATCACTGGGAAACCCATTCACACTCATTCACACACACACACACACACATTAACCATGGACAATTTAGCCTACCCAATTCACCTTTACCGCATGTCTTTGGAGTGTGGAGGAAACCCATGCGAATGCAGGGAGAACATGCAAACTCCACACAGAAGAGCACAAACTCCACACACACGCTTCCTTATGTACAACTGGCTCAAACTCACTCATTTTGAGGCTCGAACCAACGACCTTTTGCTGTGAGGGGACAGCACTACCTATTGCGCCACTGCATCACCTTATTCTTGTCTTATTGCTGCTTTAATTGTGTTTTTATACTAACAATGAATATAATATGTACAAAAGATAATAATGCCTATTACTAGGTCCTCAGTAAATCACTATAAGACAAATAAATTCTAAGTATTATTATTAGTATTTGATCACACATTTTAAATGAGAAGATTTTTATGATGTTACTTAAAAAAATTATTATGTAAAATTTCAACTGTGATAAGAAAGATACATTATGTACAGCATCGTATTCATTTAAAAAATGCTGAGTTGTAATAGCCCAACATTGGGTCAAATATGCATATTTAACCCAATCATTGGGATAAGTGCAGGGCGAACTGGCCATCTGGCAATTCTGGCAAATGCCAGAAGGGCTGGACCATTTTTTCATTGTGGGCCGCTCAGTTTTAAATTAAATTTTTTAAAATGTATTGCTTTTACATGCAGGCAGATTTATCTCTTGCAAGATGTGAATATGATGATGATGATGATGATAATAATGATAATAATAATAATAATAATAATAATAATTGTAAAGCATTTGGCCCAAACCATGACATCTGGCTGGTTTTGAGATTGGCCAACCCAGTCCGACCCAATCAGCGGTTACGCAGACGTAATTAAGATCTGGCAAGAATGTCAAACAAACAGTAAGTGATAACTGTCAGAGACGGACCATAAAAAGGTGGTGTCGAAAAGCTCAGAGAAAGCAAAAAAGGGCTCTAAAAATGCTGCCAAATGCATAAAATTCACTGAAATCTTCTCGAAAGGTTTAAATTCGGCTGCTGCATCAGAGGACAATAGCGCGGTAGCATGTTAGAAATACTGTGAAAAGATTCTTTTAAAATAGACTAAGACTGAAATAACAGCTGTTAAAAAAATCAGTTTTGCAAAACCACAAACAAACATTATTTGTTATTTAAAATCGCATTATTTTTTCACAATGAAGCATAAAAATCTGCTTTAAAACCATAAAATATTCTTAGCACCTTTAAATACTTTAAAAAGATTTAAATACTGCACTGCAAAAACTGCTTTTCTTGCTTAGATTTTTTGTCTTGTTTCTAGTCTAAATATCTAAAATTACTTATATCATGAAGCATTTTCTTAACAAGCAAAACATACTGTCTTGTTTTGAGAAATAATATGCCAATATTAAGTGAGTTTTTCCTTAAAACAAGCAAAATAATCTGCCAATGGGGTAAGCAAAATAATCTTGTTTTTTCTTTTGACGTAAGATTATTTTGCATACCCCATTGGCAGATTATTTTGCTTGTTTTAAGGAAAAACTCACTTAATATTGGCATATTATTTCTCAAAACAAGATAATATGTTTTGCTTGTCTAGAAAACTCTTCTTGATTTAGGAATTTTTAGATATTTGGACTAGAAACAAGACAAAAAATCTAAGTAAGAAAAGCATTTTATGCAGTGTGTGCATGAGAATGTACAGTATATGCATGTGTAACCCCGCCAGTCTTACGCCACCCAACCCGCTCCGAGTTGGTATCAAACCGATGACCTTCCGCATGGGAGTCGGTTGCTCGAACAAGGAGGCTAAAGTTCATGGCCTTTAGCATCTGTCACAAGAGCACCTTCAGATGTCAGAGGAGTGAGGTTTACCTGCACAGCACTTACTAGCTGGCCTCTGTTACACATTGGGTTTTATTTACCCAATGGGTCAATTATGGATAAAACGTTGGGTTTTTTGTTACATTTTATTGATATAATATTAACCCAACTTGATTAAGCATTGGGTTAAGACAACCAAGCAATTTTTGGTGTCTATATCAAGGTAAAACAATTACCACAAACTTTTACCACTGCAAGCTAAATTGCTGAAACAAACAGCACTTCATCAAAATAAAAATGAACAACATACATCAGACTTACTTTAATGAGGAAATCTTCTGTTAAATTGTTCTGATCAAACTCATTCTGGATGTCGTTGTCCGTTTGAGGAGGCTCAGACTTCTTCTGTGGCTTTTCTTTCTTTGTCGTCTTTTTTCGTGGACGCGTCCGTCTGAATATTCCCACAATTATCAAGTTTATTGGAAACACAAGCAGGGTGCTCTCGAAGCCAATCATCACCTGACTCCAGGTCAGCTGAATCTGACCTTTTAGAACAAAAGACAAATAAAACATATGAAAAGCAAGCAATATTCTGTCCAAACATATTTATATAATATTCATGCAGCGGAATGAACCACCAACTATTCTGGTATATGATTTATGCAAACGGAAGCCCTTCCAGCCGTAAGCCAGTACTGGGAAACACCCATACACTATCACATTTACACAGACACACTCATGCACTACTACAACCATGTCTTTGGACTGTAGGGTAAACCGGAGTGCCCGGTGGAAACCCACACGAACAAAGGGAGAACATGCAAACTCCACACAGAAATGCCAACTGGCCCAGCTTGGACTCGAACCAGCGACCTTCTTGCTGTGAGGCGACAGCGCTAACCACTATGTCACCATGCTGCCTTTATATGATATGTTCGTATTAATTTGCATAAAGTGCTCGACATAAATGAGTCCACCCCAAAGGGGAGGAGCTACTCTATGTCCCGGCCTCTCTTAGAGATTTTTCAGTTGAGATTATGCCAAACATCAAATAAAAAAATGTGCATTTCAAAGCACCTCACGAGACCTTAAAGTACTATTTTTATCCATACCCATGTCCATGGTCTGCTCTGAGGGGTCAGTGGGAATCCCGTAAAACATGATGCTGGTCAACATAGAGCAGAGCAGCACCGAAAAGCAGCAGGAGACGCGCTGCACACAGGTGAAGCTGCTGTTGACCGGTCGACACACCACAGAGTACCACAGGTGCTTGTCACAGAAGTCTGTCGTCGTCTTCGAGAAGAACACATTGCTGCAACATAGAAAATCAAGTAGTTGTGTTTTTAAATATTCCTTGTTAAAGGGCCATGAGACCCCCGTGTTTCAGCAAGATGTTGTCACACCTCTACTTTGGAAAAAGTCAGAAAAGGGGGCGTGCCCAGCTCTGTTTAGGTGGGAGTGTTGGAGAGGCAAAAGAGGGATGGTGTGGATGTGTCGATTTGAGATTTGAGCATGAGTGAGTTTCAGAGGCAAAATACACACACACACACACACACAGAGGAGAAAGTGACTGTGTTTACATGGACATCTGTAATTGAATTATTTGCCAAATTATTAAATGGTGGACTTTAACTGCAGTTTGGCTCTTTCATTCAGGGAATTCATTCATGCCCCTCGCGACAACGAGATATTTGATTCGAGGAACTGCTGGAAGCGTGTATTTTTCATGCAATGTTTACTACCGCACGGCGAATGAGAGAAAAAAAAACTCGGCAGGTATGCCGCGTGTGTTATTCCGGTCACAAAATGCGGTGAAAATCCTACACGACGGTAATAGTTTGGTTGTGGTGCTTACATGTTTACACTCGGTGTAGTTCGATACGAATAAACTCAATAAACAAAGAGCACTGGTCGCTCACTTACCAAATCTGTAGAGACAGGACAATCCGCAGCAACTAGAACCGCGTCTTTATTAAGAGGAGATGAGCAGCGAATCCGGATCTCCATTTGCAGATGACAAAAAAAGCTCTCGGGTAAACAATGTTCCTAGACACGTAAGTTATTGTTGTCGAGCGTTGCATGCACTGATCCACAGGTGAGTCAAGCTGCGCTCTCACGGAGAGAAAATGAAAACAAAACTTCACTGCAGCAAAGGAAAAAAGCAACACTGCTCGCTTGTTTTGCCAACACAATGTGGTGTGTCTGCCGTCTAAAACAACATGTAACATTAATGAATATTAATGAAGTTGCATAATAGAGCACGCTGATTGGTTTGAACCAAGCTTTACTCATGCATTAATGCAGCACACTCGAAGACGTAATACTAGACACTCAGGCACAGACGTCCAGTCTACACGCTGGGATACGAGCTAAGATCTCATGGACGTGACGCAGCTTCAAAAATTCGTTTCTAACTGGAAGTACGAATTTGCTCAAAATAACGCAAAAACAACCAGTTTTTACTTTTTTGTGAAATATAGGTGTCCTAATAGTGTTTATAGCAGTGTGGGACACATATACGACTGTCAACAGCTCAAAACTTGTGTTTTGGTGTTTCGTGACCCTTTAAAGTTTGTATTAACTCAACAGTGCTGAAACTTTTTATTATGGTAATGAATTTCCAAATAAAACAGAATATTGAGTAGGGGGCGGGGCTTTCTTATTGAGCATCATTCCCTTGTAGCAAACAAACGTTAAGAGGGGTATGGTTATTTTTCTCCACATATCTGTTTTATTTGGAATAAAAATATAATAAAAATATTAGATATAAAAATAAATCTCTTTTTTAAATAACTGGTTTAATAAAAATATACTTTTAATTAGTCAGCTCTTAGATGTGGTGTCCCTTTTTCCATATAATAATAATAATAATAATAATTCGTTACATTTATAAAGCGCTTTTCTGGGCACTCAAAGCGCTTTACACAATGGGGGGGATCTCCTCATCCACCACCAGTGTGCAGCATCCACCTGGATGACGCGACGGCAGCCATTTTGCGCCAGACCGCACACCACACACCAGCTGATTGGTGGAGAGGAGACAGAGTGATGATATGCCAATCATGATATGGGGAGGGTTAGGAGGCCATGATGGACAGAGGCCAGTGGGCAGATTTGGCCAGGATGCCGGGGTTAAACCCCTACTCTTTTTCGAAGAACATCCTGGGATTTTTAATGACCACAGAGAGTCGGGACCTCAGTTTAACGTCTCATCCAAAAGACAGCGCTCACTGAGCAGTATAGCGTCCCCGTCACTATACTGGGGCATTAGGACCCACACAGACCGCAGGTTGGGCGCCCCCAGCTGGCCTCACTAACACCACTTCCGGCAGCAACCTAGCTTTCCCAAGTGGTCTCCCATCCAGGTACTGACCGGGCGCAGCCCTGCTTAGCTTCAGTGGGCGACCATGTGAGAGTTGCAGAGAGCTAGCTGCCGGCTAAATATGAAAAATGTATGTATCAGTTTTCTTTTCCTGTTCCCCCCCCCAAAGAATATGCCGTCGTTTATGATGCAATCACTGATTGTGTTATACCTTCAGTCAAATTTGGCCCTAAAGGTTCTTTAGATTATTTTTTTAACACTGTTTTTATTGATTTTAGTAGCTTTTAACATGTACAACAGAAATCAGATTCAAACATAGAAAATAATAATGTATGATAATAACACACACGATATTAAAAGAAAAGTAAAACCATATAAAAAATAAATAATAAAATAAAATAATAATATTAATGATAAATAAAAAAATATATGAAGAGTAAAAGTAAAAATTATATAAACATATTAGTAAATGCATGTACTTTCACATACAATAAATCTGTTTTGCCTAAGCTTTTGTCACATTTACATGTGTTTTGAATGCTTTGAAAGTGTTAATCGTTTTGCCAAGCTATTGTTTTGAAACTTTGAAATATTCAGTTTCTCCCACCAAATAACATCAAACACATTTTCAGGATAAATACAATGTTGACCTTCTGACCTTACAGTAGATGCATTTAAATCTGTTGTAGGAGACTCCAACATAATACTAAGACACTTTAAATGACCTGCTCTTTAAGAAAGCAGCACTGTGAGCTCACCTGAAGCCTTTCATGTCCACCTCTGAAGCTACAGGAAACACCTTTTCAACAGTACAGTCGTCCACATCAACAGACAGCCACGAATTGCAGAGGAAATTCCACTTCTGCTCAGTCTGAAGGTCTTTTATCACTACTGTGCTGACAAACCTGAGAAAACAAAAAAATCAACTTAGTCTAGGAGTGTGTTTAATTTTATAGGATGTATCTTGCTCTTCAAATCATCAAATCTTTACAAAGCTGTACTTTATATAAATGTAATGAACATTAGTAATAATATTAAAATGTTACAGGTGTACCTAAAGTGTATGATTTTTGATTAAAGATTTTATTCAGTGGATAGTAAATTATTGCTGCTCAGATTAATATTTTATGTATAATTGTTTAGTTTTGTGGCAAGAAGTCATGTAATAAACCAGATAATTTACATCCGGCAGCCTTTTTTTGTTTGTTTGCTTTGCCCTTTGTGTCTGCCACTATCTCCAGCGATCAAGCCTGTGCAGATCGCTCGAGAACTACACATCTGCCACTATATGAACTACAACTCCCATAATCTTTGCAATCACGCACCAGTTCCTGATTCGCCCTGATTACACACACACAGCTCATGATGGACTGATTACCAGGACTATAAAGACATTTAATTCACACACACTCTTTGCTGAGTCTTGTAAACTGTAAGTGAGCATAACCAAGCGGTTTCTTTGTCGTGTTGGGACCTTTGCTTTGTTTTATTGTTTACGTTGTTTTGCTGCCTGTCCTGACCATTTGCCTGTACTGTGACTATGCTTTTGAATTATCTGCATGCTTCTGTCTGTCCCTGTTTTGACCTTTCACCTGCCTGACAATTGCCTTAATAAACTGCACTTGAATCCACATCTCCGTTGTACCGCGACTCATTACATTGTCAGGTTTCTGATAAACCTGTCTGGGTTTATTCTGCGATAACAACCGACTGGATGTACATTATCCCTTACTTAGAAGCACTGTTAATACTGTTATTATGCATATTAATAATAAAAAACTGGTTTAATAATTTCAAACTGGTTGAGTAGGTTATTTTTTTTTTGTTTTGTTTTCCGCAGATATTTAGATGTAAAGTTCTTTATTTTGTATAATGAACTCTTTTCTGTTATGATGCATTCAACGGTCATTATAATTTCAAATCCTTGAAAGTTTTTAATATTTAGATTTTTTTTTAAATGTATGTGCATTTATATGTTTTTATATGTATATATGTATTTATGTTTGGTCCATTTGTGAACTGTTTACCACCAACTTACCAAGCAGGATGATTTCCGGAGTTGTCATGCCATAGTCTGATGCTCTGCAGGTCTCCCAGTGAGTAAGGGGTGGTCAGTAAAAACAGATCCACTCCTCCTCTTTCAAACACAGGCTTCTCCGGGTCAGTCAGATGATGGGGCTCACAGTCTCCCTCCATGCCCTGAACAGTCACTATAACCTGAAGAGTGGAAATGACATTATAAAGTTTGTATGGTACACTCATATTTCCTGAAGAAAAGCTTATGATGCATGCAAATGCCAACCCGTGATGAAGTGGAAGATCCCGGCCGATGCCCAGTGCTGATCTTCACCAAGTAGCAGTACTCAGCAAAAGGATCATTATCATCTAGCACAGTAACCTTTACCTTTTGGAGGATGAAACGCAGTATATCAAATATAATATACAGTTTAAGTCAAAAATATTAGCTCTCCTGTGATTTTTTTTTCTTTTTTTAGATTTCATAGATTTTAATTTTTTTCATTTCATAAATTATGTTTAACAGAGCAAGGAAATTTGTCAATCTGTGCTTTTGAAAACACTATCGGTTGGGTTTAGGAAAGGTGGAGGGTGGGGGGATCAGTCAGTCAGTCAGTCTGTCAGTCAGTCAGTCAGTCAGTCAGTCAGTCAGTCAGTCAGTCAGTCAGTCAGCCAGTCAGTCAGTCGACAGCGGCCTCTGGTGGATTTATGCAAAAAGAGCAAGCACAAATGCCACTCGCAAGAAAAATTTGAGATCTGTACAGTGGCCGCTGGTGAATTTGCGAAAACAAAACTGCAAAAAAGCTCCTGAGACAAATTTCGCGTTCTCCAGGAATGTATACAGGGGTACATATCCACAATGAGCCTGGGTTGGATGTTTTTTTTTTTCTTTTTTTAATATTTCACAGATGATGTTTAACAGAGCAAGGAAATTTTCAGTTTTCCTATTATATTTTTTCTTTTGGAGAAAGTCTTATTTGTTTTATTTTGGCTAGAATAAAAGCAGTTTTTAATTTTTTTAACACAATTTTAAGGTCAATATTATTAGCCCGATTAAGCAATTTTTTTTTCGATTTTCTACAGAACGAACAAACGTTATACAATAACTTGTCTAATTCCCCCAACTTGCCTAGTTAAGCCTTTAAATGTAACTTTAAGCTGAATACTAGTATCTTGAAGAAAATCTAGCAAGGCATTATGTACAGTCATCATGGCAAATATAAAGTATCTAGTGGATTTATGTAAGAAGAGCAGGCACGAATGGCACTCGCAAGAGAAATTTGAGATCTGTACAGTGGCCTCTGTTGGATTTGCGAAAACAAAACTGCAAAAAAGCTCCTGAGACATATTTCGCGTTCTCCAGAAATGTATACAGGGGTACATATCCACAATGAGCCTGGGTTGGATGTTTTTTTTTTCTTTTTTAAATATTTCACAGATGATGTTTAACAGAGCAAGGAAATTTTCAGTTTTCCTATTATATTTTTTCTTCTGGAGAAAGTCTTATTTGTTTTATTTTGGCTAGAATAAAAGCAGTTTTTAATTTTTTTAACACAATTTTAAGGTCAATATTATTAGCCCGATTAAGCAATTTTTTTTCGATTTTCTACAGAACGAACAAACGTTATACAATAACTTGTCTAATTCCCCCAACTTGCCTAGTTAAGCCTTTAAATGTAACTTTAAGCTGAATACTAGTATCTTGAAGAAAATCTAGCAAGGCATTATGTACAGTCATCATGGCAAATATAAAGTATCTTGTGGATTTATGTAAGAAGAGCAGGCACGAATGGCACTCGCAAGAGAAATTTGAGATCTGTACAGTGGCCTCTGTTGGATTTGCGAAAACAAAACTGCAAAAAAGCTCCTGAGACATATTTCGCGTTCTCCAGAAATGTATACAGGGGTACATATCCACAATGAGCCTGGGTTGGATGTTTTTTTTTTCTTTTTTAAATATTTCACAGATGATGTTTAACAGAGCAAGGAAATTTTCACAGTTTTCCTATAATATTTTTTTCTTCTGGAGAAAGTCTTATTTGTTTTATTTTGGCTAGAATAAAAGCAGTTTTTAATTTTTTAACACAATTTTAAGGTCAATATTATTAGCCCGATTAAGCAATTTTTTTTTCGATTTTCTACAGAACGAACCATTGTTATACAATAACTTGTCTAATTCCCCCAACTTGCCTAGTTAAGCCTTTAAATGTAACTTTAAGCTGAATACTAGTATCTTGAAGAAAATCTAGCAAGACATTACGTACAGTCATCATGGCAAATATAAAGTATCTAGTGGATTTATGTGAGAAGAGCAGGCACGAATGGCACTCGCAAGAGAAATTTGAGATCTGTACACTGGCCTCTGGTGGATTTGCGAAAACAAAACTGCAAAAAAGCTCCTGGGATGTACTTCGCGCTCTCCAGAAATGTATACAGGGGTACATATCCACAATGAGCCTGGGTTGAATGTTTAGGCTGATTTTAAAATATTACATGGGTGGCACCCAGAGACCATAAACTTAGAAAAGTTGTAGACAGACCTTGGCTTTGTCCTTTAGGTCCTTCCTACGAGCCCACGCCGCTGTCAGGATGAATGCCACAAAAATGGCACCGATAAAACACACTACTACGGGGTTCTGGGCGAAGTTGGAAAAAAGCTGAGCAGACTTGGTTGGATCTACTGTATTGGGCATGACGAAAAAACTGTTCCCGAAAAAGGTTAAATGGGTACACAGACACTGGGTAACATATGGAGTCGTTTTAGGGCCAACCTAAAAAATAAAGAAGCACAGCTAAAGCTTTCAGAGGTAAAGCCTTGTTAGTGTTTAATAAGAATGACATTAAGGAGATAGTTCACCAAAGAACCTTTTAACTCATCCTCATAAACACTTATGGGTTTCTTTCTTCTGTTGAACAAGGAAGATGATATTTTAAAGAAAGCTGAAAACCTGTAACCATTGACTTCCACAGTAGGAAAAACAAATACTATGGAAGTCAATGGATGCAGGTTTCCAGCTTTCTTCAAAATATCTTCTTTCCTCTTAAACAGAACAAAGAAACTCAAACAGATTTGAAACAAGTGAAGGGTGAGGACTGTAAACTTTAATTTCTGGGTAAACTGTCCCTTTAAGCATTGAATTGATTTAAACACACCATATCAAAATCATAGTGAAGTGACTCCAATATTAAATACATATTCTAAGAAAATTCCAACATTTCCAGACCCTAAATGCATTTAATCCTGTTGAAGGGATGCTCTGATGACACTCACCCTACAGCCGTAGTCACTCCAGTTGGCTCTGGCCTCTTCCCAGAAAATGCACTGAGCAGTAACACTTGTAACAGTTACCGAAGCATTGATAGACTTTACACCTGGAGGAACTTTAGGTCGTATGAGAAGGTTGTAAACCCCAACATCTAGGGCCAAGGCATCAGGACCCAGAACCCATGTGTACCTTTCGTCTGTGTGAGAAAAAAAGAAATAAGAAAAGTAGTAACAGGGATGGCTCGCTTCTCCATAGTGGCTCAATAATATTTACATCTGGTGACTGTGCAGGCCATGGCAGATGTTCAACTTCACTTTTGTGTCCATCAAACCACTCTGTCACCAGTCTTAGTGTGTGTATTGGTGCATTATCTTCCTAATACACGGCACAGCCTTTAGGATACAGTGTTTAAAACATTGGGTGCACATTGTCTTCCAGAATGGTTCTGTAGTCCTTGGCAGTGACCATTTAGCGCAAGTATTGGGCCTAGGGTATGTCATGATATTGCAGCCCAAATCATCACGGATGGATTCACTCTGGGCATGAAACAGTCTGGGAGGTATGTTTCTTTGGGGCTTCTCCACATCGTTACTCTTTGGGATGTGGGAGAAACAGTAAGGGTGGACTCATCAGAGAACAATACCTGTTTACCTTGTGAGTTTCCTTGCTGTGGAAGAGTAACAGTGGCTTTGTTGTTTCCTTCAGTAGGTTGACTCTGATAACCCAGAAGTACCAGCAGTGTTAAATCTTCCGACGGACTGAACTTGATGACCAGGGTAATATTGGGGGTGGTTATATTGATGACTGTAGTACTGTAGCGTCCCAGGTCTACATCCGAGGTGTCCACCGTTGAGGCATTCAACCTCGGTAAAAAGATCTGGAGATCAAGAAAACGTCTAATTGAATCCTCTTCTAATACACATTACTTATATTTATAATACATTCTCAGAAAAAAAAAATGTTAATACATTTGGCAAGTATAATGATATTTAGCAGTTAACTTACTACATTTTAACCCATTCACGTGTGGTGTATGTCTTAAAATCAGTTTGAAAAGTTATTATAAATACAGTTATTTTGGAAATGCTAGTGAGTCAGTAATTATACTCTCTGTTTTCACTTTTTTACTTCCTGTTTTAATCAGTAGGATCAGTTGGTTGGTGATTTTACCTCAATCTCCTCAGTGAGGTTTGCCACAGGAATGCCAGAGCCGTTTGTTTTGGAGAGAGACATGCTGGCCACAATACTCGAAATAGGATGACCTTCAGCCCATGGATCAATGTTATAATGTGCCATCTGTGATTAAAGAGCATATATGTTTATGTATTATGTTCATCGGATTTGAAAAATTGCAGTTAAAATGATAAAAAATTACAAAAAATATGAAGCTATTTGCAGTATACCGGTGTGTATTAATTCAGCATTAATTTCACAGAAAATGAGTTCTGAAGTCACAACAATAGAAAAACAGTCAGATATTAAACTAATACCACACAAATATGATGTTTTCATGTTTTTATTAAACAATTTTTTCTTCTGTGAAATCCACTGTAAATGACTGTATATCATATATATATATATATATATATATATATATATATATATATATATATATATATATATGTATTTTTTTTTTTTACTGCAGCTGTTAGACAAATACATTTCTCTTTAGTTGAAAATTGAGTTAATATGGAAATAACTGACTAAATTATTTAAAATTACTCTGCTTCACTAAATCTAAATCTATACCTATTTTGTCACGAAATAATTTCTCAATGTAATATTCATAAGCATACGATAAATGATAAATATTCTTTAGTAGCAAATATTATTCTGTAATATTTTCAATATTCTAAAATTATTCAGTGATAATAATAATTATATATTACTCAGCATCTCTGAATTGTATTTAAATAGAACTGATCAATTTATGTAGAGTGTTTAAGGCAAGTAAATTATAAGTAACTGTAATTAAATTACCTAATTAGTAATCCCTTAATGTTTTTGCAGCAGAAGCATGTATATACACACACACACACACATTACCTGACAACAGTTTTAGTAACAACAAATAATAACTTGACTACTAGTTGATTTGGTATCAGAAGTGGCTTAAATGAAGGGCAAAGGCCTCTAGATTAAGCTTTTTTTTTCTTTTCTTTTTTTACCAAAATATAATATGATCAAGCCTTGATTTTTAATTATTTAATTAGGAGAGTAAGGTCTGACTTTGCTTAGACAAAAGTCTTGTCACTTAACAGAAATAATGTCCAGTATAGAATATAAAGTCATGCCGCAGTGGACTCCCATGAGCTTGGAGGACTTCATCCACACATCTCTGCAATGACTCAAATCACTTATTAATAAAGTCATCTGGAATGGCAAAGAAAGTGTTCTTGCAGGACTCCCAGAGTTCATTAAGATTATTTCCTCCATCTTACCCCAGGCATGCTCAATAATGTGCATATCTGGTGACTGGGCTGGCCAATCCTGGAGCACCTTGACCTTCTTTGCTCTCAGGAACTTTGATGTGTAGGCTAAAGTATGAGGAGCGCTATCCTGCTGAAGAATTTGCCCTCTCCTGTGGTTTGTAATGTAATGGGCAGCACAAATGTCTTGATACCTCAGGCTGTTGATGTTGCCATCCACTCTGCAGATCTCTCACATGCCCCCATACTGAATGTAACCCCAAACCATGATGAGAGTCTTGAGTCCATGCGGGTTCCAGTAGGTCTTCTGCAGTATTTGTGATGATTGGGATGCAGTTCAACAGATGATTCATCAGAAAAATCGACCTTCTGCCACTTTTCCAAATTATCAACTGGAAGTCAAGGTATTATTTGTTGCTCTTATCGAACTGGGATCGATGACTAGACTTTTTTTGAGGAAGTGTATATATCAGCACAGTACAGTATTTCCTATATATTTTTTCTTCTGGAGAAAGCCTTATTTGTTTGATTTTGGCTAGAAAAAAAAGCAGTTATAACTTTTTTTAAACCGTTTTCCTCAAAAAAAAAAAAAAAAAAAAAACAACAACACATAAATAAAAAATCCTATTAAAGAACGAATACAGGCCACATAAATGATGCTTAATAAATTAATTTGATCATTTTTAGAGTTTTTTTTTTGTTTAATACACACCTTTACATCCACTGGTTCACCCACAGGCAGGATATCAGAGCCCAGGTTTGGCAGCTTGAAGCTGGCTGAACTGTTTACAACTGCGAAAGGCTCTTTCTGAAGGTTATGTGGAGATAGCCTAACCAGAGAAATAATCAAAACACCAAAAACAGGAATAATTTTTCATTAATGAAAAATATGATTTGTATTCTGATTGTCCGTACCTGTTGGCATAGATGTTAAGATTTGTAGTGCTGATGACCGCAGGCTCCTGATCAGGTGTTTTATTCGCTAGCAGGAAAGTGTGCACAGAGTCCACCGCGCTGAGCAGATAATTAGTGATGTCGCTCTGAAAGGCCAGGAGAATGCTTATGCAAATTGCCTGACTTGTTCAATATGTGTTTTAAAACATGATCACTGGTCTACACTCAAAAAATAAAGTTTGCTGTTTGTTCAAGCTACTTATTTAAAATGAGCTGAGACAGCACAGTCCTTGAGGTTTTTTTGGGACAAAAGCAGCATCCAAGAAAGGTCTAGTTCTTAAGGACCAAAGATGGGCTGAGGATCGCCATCAAATACGTGAGATACCGATCCTTCAGGCGACACTGCATTAAGAATCGTCACTTTATATAAGCGACATCACCATATGGGCTCAGGACTACTGCTCAGGGCTAGTCGATAAGCTAGTAACCAACTTTAAAAAAGATGTCAAGGTTATTTGTAAAACCTACCTCTTTGTCCCTATCAAAGGCTCCAAGAAGGTGACTAGAAGACTGTACAATGAGTGCGGCTGTGTCAGCTAGTGCAGAGATGTTACCCGGAGTCAGATCAATGGAGGTCAGGGAGCTACCAAGAACGCTTAATATTTGACCAGCATATTCCTGTGAAAAAAAAAAGAAGATGGCTCAATCAGCTGTTGTGCAGTAATTGTCATGTTCACCAGCGAACAACCACCAGATGTCGCTGGTAAACACTCACTCATAAAACTACATATCTGCCTTCTTCTGGACTACATATGCATACATGCACTTCTCCTAGACACTCACGCCTGCTCACTCATCTAGCTTGATTACATTTGCACACCTGAGGACTTTCAGAGACTGATTAACACACACTATTTAAGCCACAAATTCACCCCTTCAGTTGGCCGAGTCTTGTTCACTGTAAAGTAGCATTACAACGTGGTTTCCTTGTCTTGTTTTCCTGTTTTGAACCTAGCCTTGTTTATTTAGTTATCCTTGTCTGCCGCCTGCCTTTCGACCTCTTGATTGTTTAACTGACTACGATTCTGGATTGTCCTCACATACCTGTTTGCTCCCGTATTGACCACTGCTTGCCTGACTGTGAATAAACCTGCATATTGGATCCTACCTTCTGTTGTGGTGTTACTCCCTGTGGTTACAGTAATAGCATTCATTCATTTATTTTCCTTCTGCTTAGTCCCTTATTTATCAATGGTCACCAGAGCTGAATGAACCACTAACTATTCCGACATATTATACATTTTATGAGCGAGGCAGTGGCGCAGTAGGTAGTGCAGTCGCCTCACAGCAAGAAGGTTGCCGGGTCGCTGGTTCGAACCTCGGCTCAGTTGGCGTTTCTGTGTGGAGTTTGCATGTTCTCCCTGCCTTTCCGTGGGTTTCCTCTGGGTGCTCCAGTTTCCCCACACAGTCCAAAGACATGCGGTACAGGCTAAATTGTCCGTAGTGTATGAGTGTGTGTGTGTGTGGATGTTTCACAGAGATGGGTTGCGGCTGGAAGGGCATCCGCTGCGTAAAAAAAATTGCTGGATAAGTTGGCGGTTCATTCCACTGTGGCGACCCCAGATTAATAAAAGGTCTAAGCTGACAAGAAAATGAATGAATGGATATACATTTTATATAGCGCAGTGGTTCTCAAACTGTGGTACATGGGCTTCCGTCTAGTAGTACGCGGAGGAATTGCTGAATATTTCAAGTAAAAAAGTTAACACACTTTTAACCCTTTGACGTGTACGATAACAATGATGTGATCAGGAAATTGATAGGTTAGATTAATAGATTTAATAGGTTAAACTTTTAATTTATTTTAATTTTTCTAATGTTTGTTATGTATTCTATCATTTGAGGTTATTTTCCTTCCCATACTTGTAACGGTTGTTGGGGGTGCATCTCGTATTTTTTTATCCCAATGTTATAATTACTTGCTTATCTGACACACATAGCACTTGCATATAAAGTAAATCGTACCTCAAAGCATTTACTGGGGCACTGGCGATTTTTACTGGGGCACATGCCCTGAATCCACCAAGATGGGATGGCCAATGTAGGACTCACCTGGGCTGGCCCGCGTGGGCCCCACCTGGGCTGGCCAGGGCTGACCTTGGCTGGGGATGGCCAGTATTATTATTTATAATAATATTTTACATTTAAGTACAGCAGTTTTCTTTTAACTTTGTAAGAACAGTGCCATTTTTAATTAACTTTTAAAATCACATTTGAATTTAAACATTGACATTTTATTTGTCTTTTTTACCTGTAAGTGTGTTATTGTTCAAACTATTTCTTATGTTTAAAGTGGCTGACAATAATAGATATTCATAATAATAAGATTTAATCTGCCACAATTGTGAACTGTGCTGTAGCCGCTTAAGTAGGCCTACTATTTCAATACCAGTCATTGAGGTGGTTCTTGAGAAACAATTTTTTCTGAGGTGGTACTTGGTGAAAAAAGTTTGAGAACTACTGATATAGCGGATGCCTTTCCAGCTGCAACCCATTACTGGAAAACACACTCTCACATTCAAACACACATACACTACAGTCAATTTAGTTCATCCAATTCGCCAATAGCGCATGTCTTTGGACATCAGAGCATCCGGAGAAAACCCTGCAAACATGCAAACTCCACACAGAAACGGACCCAGCCGGGAATCGAACAAGCAACTTTTTTTGCAGTGAGGTGACTGTGCTAACCACTGAGCCTTCATGCCACCCCAGTAATAGCATTCGATCATATTTCTAATGATGATACATTCGGTCACAGAATTACCTGAGCAGCAACAGTCATTTTCCCTTCGTCTTTAACGATGTTCACCAAATCATTGGCATAAGACTGCACATCTGAGGGCTGGAGCGGTTCAGAGTCCTCTAAAAGTGAAGAGATCTGTAACAGAAGGTCTTCTTTGAACTGCAATTGGAAAATGGATATAAGGAAATAAGTATTACACATATATACAGTTCAAAAACAACACACATAATACAAAAATGTAGGACCAGATTTACTCAAGGTAATTTTTTAACTTAACTGTGCATACTGTAATTTCAAGAGTTCACGCTTAGCTTATGATTGATTATAAACCTTGCTTGGAAGGCTGTCCTGGAAGAGAGCCCTGAGCTCTTAAAGATCCTCGAGCCCAGGGTTCCCTCCCGTTTGCAAGGCATGAGGGGAGTTTGAGCTTAGGTAGATCTCGAAAACTCCCCTGCTGTAGTAGCTAATTAACAGATAGTGATTGCTCTAAAGAGATAACTACTTATTTGGAGCATGTCTATGGTGCTGATTTAGATTAGTCTATTGCGACTTCCTGATGCCTCCTATAAGTCGCTCGAGAGGCAGTGAGGGTCCTTTATATTTGTGACGCGCTGGTGGCTTTAGACAGAGACACTGAGCCCAAGATGTTATATGGAAAGACTTTATGTAACTTGAAGCATGAAAAAACAATACAGCAATTTGTGTCTTTGAATACCTGTATGGTGCCGATTATTGCGTTGGTGTGATGATTGTTGCGTGTGCCGTTGTGATACAGTTTTGCGTTGCTTGGTTTGCGCTGCTGTTTGCGTGGCTGTTTGCGTGGCTGTTTGCGCTGCTGTTTGCGTGGCTGTTTGCGGTCAACAAAAAATACGGCTACCCCACTCTCCTTCTCTCCTTCCACCTGTGTGATTGTGCACGCGCTTTATATGTTCGAGCAGGTGCCAGTTATGCCCACGTGACCAAAACATAAAACGTCACTGTGAAACTCAAACCAATCAGTATACAAATAAACATTATAATTAAATGAAAAGTAATATGGCTCCTATACACCAGCCCCTAATTATTAGATCACCACATAATAATTATCCAAAATTACAGATAGGAGACATAAATCAAACACACAAAAGTTCAACTGTAAAGTCCAACAGTAAAATGTCCATACTTTTCTTCTTTGTCTCCTAATGGCAAAATCCACAAAAAAGCAAAAAAAATAATCCACAAAAGGCATTATCAAAAAAAAAAGAAAATAATTTAACTGTAGTTCAAATTTAATCAAACTCAGCCTCCTGCAGCAAGCAGACCTTGGTAATAGGTCTTTCCAAACAGCTGGTTTTTGTTTTAATCCGTACTTGACGGACAAATCCTCTTCGGTCTGGGAAGGTTTGGATCACTCGACCTGTTGGCCAAGAATTTCTAGGAGCTGTGCTGTCCATAATGATCACAAGATCTCCCACAACGAGGTTCCTCTTAACTCCAATCCATCTCTGACGCTCCTGTAGCTGAGGTAAGTATTCCTTAACCCATCTCTTCCAGAATAGATCGGACATGTATTGTACCTGTTTCCACCTCCTAAGTGCATACATGTCTGTCGGTTGGAACAACCCTGGGGGTAATGATGGTGAAGTCTTTAACAGCAACAAGTGGTTTGGAGTTAGTGCTTCCAGGTCATTTGGATCCATGGAAGCCTTGGTGATTGGACGGCTGTTGATGATGGCTTCAATCTCACAGAGCACTGTGTGAAGACCTTCTTCATCCAGGTTTTGCACCTTAAACATTGAATTAAGGACTTTACGCACTGATCTTATTAACCTCTCCCATGATCCTCCATGATGAGAGCCAGCCGGTGGGTTAAAACTCCATCTGATTCCCTTCTGCAGCAAAAGATCATTGATCTGCCCCTGGTTCCACTGTTTAATAGCAGCTTTCAACTCATGTTCTGCACCTACAAAATTAGTTCCGTTATCTGAACGGATCTCTCGCACCTGTCCCCTTCTGGAAATGAAACGCCTGAGTGCATTAATGAATGAGTCCGTATCCAATGATGGAGCAACCTCAAGGTGTACAGCTCTGATGGCAAGACAGGTAAATATAACCCCATACCGCTTTACCATGCTCCTTCGGCTCTTAACCTCAAAAGGTCCAAAATAGTCCACTCCCACTCGAGTAAATGGTGGTTCATCTGGGACTATTCTTTCGTGTGGCAAGTCTGCCATTTGCTGGTAAACTGGCAGAGCATTTAGACGGCGACAGACGATGCATTTGGACAGTACTTTCCTTATGGCTACACTGACACCAGTTATCCAGTACTTCTCCCTCAATTTGGACAGCATATGGTTCCGTCCACCATGCCCCACTTCCTGATGGATATGTCTCAGCAAGAGTTCTGAAATGTGAAGATCTTTTGTTAATATTATAGGGTGTTTAACTTCCACAGGCATAGCCAACCTACAGAGACGACCACCAACTCTCAGGATTCCATCTTGCAGCTGTGGACAGAGTTTATGGAGGTGACTGGATATTTTAATACGTTGCCCTTTCTCCAGACTGGCTAGCTCTTCAGGAAATCTCTGTCCCTGACAGAATTTAATGATGGCAAGCTCAGCCCGGTCCAAGTCCTCCACTGTAAGTTTACTGCTTGTCCTTTTAAAATAATCAATCTCCTCTGCCACGGAGGAGCTCTGCTGTGCATTGTTGTCAGACTGTACAACGGTCTGATGAAAATGCCTTGTTTCCTTTAAACAAGACATGAGCCAGTCCTTGATCCTCAAGAACCATGCTACGGATTTCTTAAGGCGTGTCCAGGAAGAAAAATACTTGATCAGGTAAGTGACTGGATCTTCTTTGAGTTGTGTAACGTTTGTTGCAGCAACATTTTTGACCTCGGGGTCTTCAGATGAAAGGTAGTTGACGTCCTCCTTGTTTACAGGCCACTCACTCTCCGGATGTAAAAGAAAGTGAGGCCCTGACACCCATGTAGTGTTTTGAATAAACACATCCACCTTAACACCTCTAGATGCCATATCAGCTGGATTGCTTGCAGTGTCCACATACCTCCACTGCTCAGGACTGGAAACTTTCAGGATTTGAGAGACCCGATTAGAAACGAAAACTTTGAATCGTGAGGTTTCATTTCGGATGTATTTGAGCACAGATGTACTGTCTGTCCAAAACACAGAATCCAAAAGATCCATATGCATCTCTTTCCTCCAAAGAATGTCCATGCGACTGGCCATGGTAGCAGCAATAAGCTCCATTCTAGGGATGGTTACGGATTTTAACGGAGCCACTCTTGCCTTCCCCATGATGAAAGCACTGTGCATTACTGAATGCTGGTTCTTCAGCAACAGGTAAGACACTGTTCCATACCCATCCTGACTGGCATCACTAAAATGGTGTAACTGGGCTGTAACAACATCTCCAAAGCATGATGGTTTCACACATCGGTCCACCTTAAACACATCCAACAAATGCAGCTGCTGCAGCCATTTCAGCCAATCCTTTGACACGGACTCCGGCACAGTGTCATCCCAGCCAATTTCTCTCCTGCACAAATCTCTCAGAATTTTCTTTGCTGTTAAAATGACAGGGCTTAGCATTCCCAGAGGGTCATAAATTGAACTGATAGTAGAGAGAATTCCTCTTCTGGTGAGTGGTCTATCCTTTAGTACAATCTTGAACTTAAAACAGTCTGATTTTATGCACCATTCCAAACCCAGCACTCTCTCCACAGGTAATGAATCCAACTCCATGTTTAACCGTTCCATGCCTCTTGCTCTGTGACTTTCAGGGATAGCTTCCAATACACCAGGCCTGTTGGTTATCCATTTTGTGAGGGAAAACCCACCCCTGGCACACAGAGAAACCAGCTCCTGGTAAAGTGACACTGCTTCCTTCTCTGTAACAACTGACACAAGGCAGTCATCTACATAAAAAGAGTTCAATAATTTGTCTACTGCATTCTCACTGTAGTGACATCCATAATCCTCTGCACACCTTCTGAGGGCATAATTGGCACAACTAGGTGATGATGCTGCCCCAAACAAATGCACCTTCATACGGTATTCAACAGGTTGCTGTTCCACATCTCCATTAGGCCACCAAAGAAACCTAAGCAGGTCTGAGTAATCCGAAGAGACCCGTACCTGGTAAAACATGGATTCAACATCAGCCATGATTACTACTGGTTCCTTTCTAAAACGAGTCATGACTCCTATCAAAGAACTCGTAAGATCTGGGCCCTGTAAGAGCTGAGCATTCAACGATGTTCCTTGATAACTCGCTGCACAGTCAAACACAACTCTCATCTTTCCCTTGGTGGGATGAAACACTCCATGGTGTGGTATATACCATACCTTTCCATCACTGCGGTCTAGTTCCTCTACAGGCACCTTCTCAGCATAATCTTTAAGAAGCAGATCATTCATAAAGTTGTTATATTCAGCATGAAATAATGAATCTTTCTGAAACCTCCTTTTCAGATGATGCAAACGCTGTTCGACAATGTTCTTGTTTTTTGGCATGCTGACGTCAATGCTCCTTAATGGTAATGCAATTTGGTAGTGCCCATTCACATGTTTTACTGAATTACTCACTAGTTCTAGGAATTTTTGATCTTCTCTTGACATACCAGCATAATCATCGAGACGGTTTTCAGGGAAGTCAGTTTTAAACTGTTGGTGCCAAATCTCATCCAGATTTACAGCTGACACTCTATTAACCATTACCAGGGGCTGTTTCCAGTTAACCCTTTCTCCACTGTCTCCCATCAGTGGTCCATTAACAGTCCAGCCCAACATGGTTCTAATGGCATATGGTCCATCATTTACACTGCTTACCACTTGTAATGGTTCCAGTGCTTTAGGGACATTGGTTCCTATCAGGAGTTCTATTTCGGAATCGATCTGAGGTAAATGAATGTGTTTTAAGTAAGACCATCTTTTAATATCCCTATTAGTTGGAATATTTCCTCGGTGCACTGGCATGGACTCTTGTGTATAAACTTTTGGCAGCTCAAGAAAACGATCTCCTTCCAGAGCTGCAACCTCCAAACCAGATATAATGTTGCTACTCACAACCTTCTCCTGCCCCATGGTTCGTAGAAGAATACGCCCCTTCCTTCCTGTAAGGTGAAGCTTGTGCATCAAGTTCTCTGTACAAAA